CTGCAGTGGAAGTTCGGTGTCCTAACCACTGAACGACTAGGAAAGTCCCCCATCATAGAAATTTTTAACATAAAAATCAGAGAAAGATAATATTTTAAGGTGTAGCTATTAGGATGACCACCCACACAAGCAGAAGCTTTGTGTTTGGATCTTCCTTAGTGGTTCTGATTGGGCTGTGTTTCTACCTGTGGGAGCTGAGAACAGGTGAAGCAGGAGACTTGCAGGGCAGTTTGCTGCTCCAAGTGGTTAAGTCATAAAGACAGTTTGAGATCCTATTTTCAACATGTACGGGAATAGCAACTGCATAACTGCTTACTATATAAAGCAAAAGAACAAGCAATAGCTGAGCTTGACTGACACCATGTTTCTGCAGTCACATGCCAGGCTCACAAAAATACAAAGCAAGAGAGGAAAATCCCTTCCTTTTGCCACCAGAACTGCCTTATCCTCCCACCAGAACTGCAGTCTATTTGAGCTGCTCTAACAAAGCGCTGGGGGCTTGGCGGGGCGGGGCAGGGACTGGGCTTCTTGCTATTCCTCAACAACAGCAGGTAATCTCCCATTTCAAGGCCTCCACCCAAATGCTCTTCTTCAGATACCGGATATCCATGTGGCTCATTCTCACACTTCCTTCAAGACTTTCCTCAGCTGCCTCCTTTTCAGTGAGCTCTTCCATGACCCACATATTTTAAATTTGTAATTGCCCATACCAATTACTCCCTTCCCCCTGCTTTATTTTGCTCCATAACCTTTATCACCAGCATATTTTACCTTACTCATCTGCTTTACTGTTTATCTCCCTCCAAGAGAATCTAAACTCCACAAAGGTGACCTTATTTTATTCACAGCTATCTTCCCAGTTCTTAGAACAGTGCTGCCACAAAGTAGATGTTCCATAAATATTTGTTAAATGATGGAATGAAATCCTCAGAGGAGGATAATGACGCAGAGGGAAGTTCAGTTTTAGCCAAGATCACAGGACTAGTGTGTGCAAGGTTCAGGATTAGAACTCAGCCAGAGCTCATTTCACTCTCTCAACCTTGTTCGGGGCTTCCCTGGTGGCTCAGTGGCAAAGAATCTGCCTGCCAATGTAGGAGACACAGGTTCAATCCCTGATCCAGGAAGATCCCACATGCCGTGGAGCAACGAAGCCCATGAGTCACAGCGAGTGAAGTCCACGTGCCTGAGAGCCCGTGCTTTGCCAACAAGACAAGCCACCACCATGAGAAGCCCGTGCACAAGAGAGTTGCCCCTGCTGGCAGCAACTAGAGAAAAACCCAGCAGCAATGAAAACCCTGCACAGACAAAGATTAAATACATAAAATTATATTTTTAAAAATCTGGTTTAGCAGCTGAGAGGGGGACTCCCCATCCAACCCTAAGAGCTGGCTGGCTGGGCTATACTGTGGGGGAGGCACTCACCAAGGTTCAAATGCAAACCCTGCTAGAAGGGCTGAGCTGAAACAGAACCAAGTCTTTTGGCAGCACTGTTGACAGACTCTGATTAAGGAAAGTCATTTGAAGGCATATGAAGAAGTGTTCCAGTTTTAAGACTGGCTTTAACTATTTTTCTTTCAGCTGTAGCTTTCCGGGACTATGAATGTACCATATGTCAGTATCTCCAGGTTCCCATACAAATTAGGAAACTAAAAATGCCCGATGATTAAAACAGATTTCTGCTTGTTTCCATGGGAAATCAACTGCTCCAAAACCTTAGGAAACTGGGAGGGAGGGAGACTGTTCAGCTCGAGGCGCTGTCTCGGAGTGGCTGCACTCTGCCTGCTGCCTAACTTTCCCTCCAGTCTGCTCAACATTTTGGACAGGAGGGGGGTGGGGTGTAGTCCGAGGTGGCCCACCCTGCTGGCAAACAAGTGACACCACGAAGACCAGCGTGTCTCATCCAGCTCCTATGAGCCTCCTGCCTCCAGGGGACCGGACACTACTCCAGGCCCTTCAGTGCTGGATCCCAGGCCAACCACACAGGAAGGGCCTCTTACTCATGACAAATAGACCCTGAACAGTGTCGCGCCTCCGGCCTCATCCTTCCAGCATAATTTCAGCAAGTGTGGAGCCCATTAGCAGGTCTTCTGGTAGACCGAGGGATGCCCCCCTCCAGGACTCTTTGCAGACTCACTGCTGGCTACTCACAAGTAGGCAGTGGTAATCTGGGGAAGTGGGAGGGCCCACTCAAAACAGCAAGAGGGCCCTGGGCAGCTATACGAAGGGTGTCTCTAGAAGGCTGTGATGATTGCTGGCTCCTGCCTGGCCCAGAATTAGCACCAATTTGCCTAAAAGAGAGAATGTTCAGAGAAAAGGCTGCAAAAAGATTTCAGTGTTGTCTTGCCAGTGGCAATCTTTTATCTTCTTTGGGAAAACTGGCTCAGGTGCTTACCTTAGCCTAAGTTGCTGTTTAGTTGATAAATTGTATCCAACTCTTTGTGACCCTATGAACTTTAGCCTGTCAGGCTCCTCTATCCATGGGATTTTCTTTTTTTTTTTTTTTTTTTTTTTCCCATGGGATTTTCCATGCAAGAAAACTGCAGTGGGCTGCCATGTCTTTCTCCAAAGAATCTTCTCGACCCACAGATCAGGAAGTATTGGCAGGTAGGTTCTTTACCACTGAGCCAACCTGGAAAGCCGTAGCTTTGAGTTCAGGGTTGATCAAACCACACCACCACTCTCCCTCAACCACCAGGCAAGCTGAGGGTGAAAAGAAAAATAACTTTTTTCTCCTTTCCTAACCTGTAATGTAATTCAGGCATGCCAGGGTGAGGCCCAAAGATGGAAACTCGGCAGTAAAGTTGCGAGTAGAGTTTAAATTTGGATCCAGACAGCTTACTAACTTACTATCTGCGAGACCTTAGGGAACTGAGTCACAGTCTGAGTGTCTCTAAAGCGGTGATGACAATACCTCTTCCTCAGTGAGGTTACCAGAATGAAAGAAACTAACTTAAGTAAAAACACTCCCACTGAGCCTGGTAGGCAATAGGTGCTCAGTGCCTGTGGCTTCTCTCTTCTTTCCCTCTGCTGCTGTGTTTTACTGCCAAAATTGGAAACAGACAGCTTGGTGAGCGGTAAACAGGCAATGTCCTCACTCTTTCCATAACCGTTATTACCAGCACTAGCAGTTCAATTCTTCTCAGAATTACTACTGGCGATGCAGCTAGTGCAGAGGATTCCAAATCCTTGGACATGTTATCCCACTGGTAACACATCAGCCAGGCTAGTAGTCTTGCCTAGGTGGAATGTTTCTCAGAGACACTAAGTGGAAAAGGACAGTGTGTTGTCTTCTGCCAAAATAAACCACTGGTAGGTCCTTGTGGAATCAAGACCATAGATCACAATGCATTCCAAGTGCCGTCCCTTCGGCTGGTCAAAATAATTTAACTCCTCTTGTCTTTAAATGACTCACAGGCATGATTCCTTACCATGAGGCCATCCTCACAGGTTCTATGTAATCAAGATTAGAGGACAAACGCAGTGTTATCATTTTGTGGTCCTGGGGAGGCTTTCAGTAAATCAATCTTTCCATCACAGCTCTGCTATACAAAATCATGCTCTGGTGACTTATCTATTTCTGCAGATTTCCAGTAATAGCTTCTCAAGACTGTCAGCTCTGTTTATATCCCAGCCCAGTTCTAACACTGACTATCCAGAGTTGACACAGGCTCCATAGGTTAAAGGCGAAGTCCTCCACATGACTATCTTCACTTCAGATGCTAGACATGAGTCTTGGGAGGTCCCTGGACCACCTACTCTTCTGCCCAACTAGCTACAAATTTGGGGGTTCCATGACTTTCCCAATGGCTCAGTGGGTCAAAAATCCAATTGCAATGCAGGAGACACAAGGGATGCGGCTTTGATCCCTGGGGGAGGAAATGGCAACCCACTACAGTATTCTTGCCTAAAAAATCCCATGGACAGAGGAGCCTGGTGGGCTCCTCAGTCCATGGGGTTGCAAAGAGTCGGACATGACTGAGCATGAGCACAATAAACAATATGATGACTTGAAAAATTCACTAGAATGACTCACAGAGCCCAAGTTCTAGACTGATTATAACTTTACTGGATACAACCAAGAGCAGCCAAATGAGATGAGATCCAGGAGAGAACAGAGAGCTTCAGTGCCCTCCCCCCATGGAGTCAGGGCATGTTACTCTCCAGGCACATCTATGAGTTCATTAACCAGAAGCTGCACTGAGCCCCAGTGTCCAGGATTTTACTGGGGTTTCATTACATAGGCACAATTGATTAACTCATTGGCCTCATGATTGAACTCAATCTCCAAGTACCCCAATCCCAGAGGTCAGGCTGGCCTAAGGTTCCAACACTCTAATCACATGGTTGTTCCTTCTGATGTCCATCCCTCATCCTGAAACTATCAAGAGACCCAGGTGAGGCACTTCATTAACTTAACAAAGACACCTCATCATTCAGGAGATCCCAAAGGTTTTAGGACCTCTGTCCCAGGAACGGACAAACATCAGATATATTCTTCATTATATCACAGTCTCTTAATATTTACAAACCATCAGGGTTTTGAGTTTAAGCTTTTTCCTTGGGGCGGTGGAGAGATATTTGAAGTAAGTTGAAGTCATCATATATTGAGACAATATGTGCTGAGAGTAGGATTTGGACAATAAATTGGACAACTATGTGGAGGGTGGTCTGGCTGCAGCTAAAATGGGGAAGACTAAGGAAGAGGCAGCGGCTGCTGTGTAGCCACAAAGTGGTGAGAGCTAAACTAGGGAAGCAGAAGTGGAAACGCAAAGGGAGACGTTGAGAGAGATTTTGAAGGAAGCTTTCAACTGACCATTTAAAGTTTTTTTCCATTACAAGAGACTACACAATGGACTGAGAAATTAGAACTACTTGAAGAGTTAAACTACCTTCTAAAGATATCCAGGTAATATTGACAAAGTGGCTCCTCTGTGATTAACAGAACTTCATATTCTAAACATTAAAAACTTCAACTACCATTAGAGATCATAATGCTTTACCTCTTGAATAAATTTCAGGAACCCTGTCTTCATCATTAATGCCATATTCCCATTCATTCTTCTCAACAAAAAATGGGGACTCCTCTTGTTTTCAAATGAAAGATTTGTTTCTGTTTTAAAATGAATATTGTCAGTTTTCATCTTTCAAACAGCCTTTTGAAATTTCTTCACTTCTAAGTTCAAGATCTTTCCTCTCCTTTAGATCAAAAATTCATGATGCATCCCTGAATAAATTATGTATAAAAGAGAACCTGTAATATTGTTGCATTAAAAACTAGCTATTTCTTCCTGCACACAGATTTCAGTAAACAAAAATGTAATATTTCAGAATTCGGTGTGTATGTTTTTCTCACACTAATTATTAAAACAGTGAATTACTCATATCTATAGAAGTTCTGCAATATGACAGATATTTTAGATAAGAATTTTTCAATAAAGTAATTCAACATATTTAAATTTAGGGGCAAAGAGAAATGATGATTATTTCAATGTATAGAAATAGAAATGAAATAATAAAAATTATATATAGTTTGCTCAGGAAATAAGCATTCATTTTATTGTTATTTTTCATTTGCTAAGTCATGTCCAGCTCTTTGAGACCGCATGGACTGCAGCACACCAGGCTCCCCTGTCCTTTACTATCTCCCTGATTTTGCTCAAATTCATGTCAGTGATGTTTTCTAACCATCTCACCCTCTGCCTCCTCCTTCTCCTTTTGCCCTCAGTCTTTCCCAGCATGAGGGTCTTTTCCAGTGAGTTGGCTCTTCACATCAGGTTGGCAAAGTGTTGGAGCTTTAGCATCAGTCCTTCCAAAGAATATTCAGGGTTGATCTCCTTTAAGATTGACTAGTTTGATCTCCATGAAGTCCTAATGTTTACTTTAAAATTTTTTAAATCATATATCAAGCTATTAGATGTTGACTTTTAAGAAAATTGGCAACTGGCAACTCTTCATGTTTGTCAATATGCTTAAAAAATTTGGAGAAAAAACTTCTTTGACATTATATTAAAATAATTAAGTGAACAAGTAGTTTTTGAACCTCAACTAGGTGGGAAACAGAAAAAAATCTAAAGTGTAAAAAAAAGAAGATGTAATTAGCTGTTGAATATTAATAAAAATTAACATTTACTGCATGTTTACAATGTGTCAGGCATGGTGCTAATCTAAACATCACAGTTACACTGTAAAGTAGATATTAATACTATAATTTATCCCCATTAAACTATAGAGAAACTGAAGCTCAGAGGTTAAGCAACTTATCCAATTTCACACAGCGAAAGATTCATTACTATAAGCATTTATAAAAAAGAAAGTGTTTTTTAAAAAAACTTTATGGAGAGAGAATTTGAATAGGACATTTAAAGACTGATGGAATTTGGAAGAGAGTAGAGAGATGAGAAAAAAATGCGAGAAAGCAGAAGGCGGTGTGAAGACCTGCACAAGTTGAGGTGGTAGTAGAGTCCCGAAGCCAATGAAGGCGTGTGCCAGTGGGGTGAGCGTGCCCCTCAGGGCAAAAGACCGCAATACTTATGAAGGTGATTTGGACAAAAATTGGGTCCCTGGGCATTCAGTTATCATATTAAAAAAAAACATGCAATGCAGGTTAAAATCTAGATAAATCTAAAACCTTTTCATTAAGGAATTATACCACTTCTGCCCAGCTACTTGAGGCCTTGCAGGAATCAAAAGATGGAACCCTACTTATGTTGGGGGAGGTCACTGAAAAGACTTGACAACTGGTTTGACCTGCAAACTGGACCCGAGCAGTTGGAGGTCCCCACCTCCTCTCCTGTCCTTGGAATATGTGTTCTGTTTGCTTTCCCCACTCCCAGAAGCTGCCCCAAGAGGACTTTCCTGGAGGTCCAGCAGTTAAGACACCATGCTTCCACTGCAGGGGGTGCGGGCTTGATCCCTGGTTGGGAGAACTAAGATCCCACATGCCACCAAGTACAGCCAAAAGAAAAAAAGAAAAGGCTGTTCCCAAGGATGAAGCCTTGAAATAATAATCTGGTGATGAGACTAGATTGCATGCAATCGAACCCAGTTAAGGACTCCATATAAACTTTTAAGATTCTAGTGGGCAGATGCAGAAATCTACTTGTCCTGCATCTGTCCAATATAAACCTTATAGTAAATCCCCTTATGAAGCCGGCCACCTACCAATTTGGAGTGGTCTGCTTCTTTGTTCCTTTTCTCCCTGACTTCTGGATATGGGCTTCAGTTCCAGATCACACCTGGGAAGTTCCCAAGGAGGTTTGTGAACCATCAACTCATTTCTCTTAAATCTCTAGATTCACTCCAGATTTGAGAAAAAGCAGCTTCTTCCAGTCCTTGACAGAAAAATACTGACCAATCTCCACAAAAGTCATTCAGCAAAGCCCATGATAATTGTATTTTCTTGTGAAAATGGTAGCAGGGGATGCAGAAGTGCATCTTGTTCTTGCAACTGAAATTTGTGCTTACCATTTGTCTTCACTGCAGAGAGTTTTATAGGAAAATTTCCTATCACTAATTTTCAGAAATCGTTTTGGAATTTTAGAGACTGGCCAGAAATCTATAAATGCTGCGCATTAAATGATCTCATCATTCTAAGTAGTAGCCAGCCAAGATTTTTAAAATTCCTTTCTCCTTAAAGCACTCAGAGGTCCCCTACTATTGCCCACCTCCATGCTCTTTGGGAAGATTTGCTCAGATAAGTTTCCAGTCTGATTTGAAGAAAAGCACTGTGATGTGATGTGATTGTTAGCCTAGATACAGTCACAATGTGCCCATCTGGGAACTGTGGCAACTGTGGGTGACTTGTGGGCTGGTAATACCACTCCTGATAATGAAAAATTAAAGCTTGCCCAAGTAAAGAACTGGTAACTTTAAAAAATATGGTTCCTCTTACCTCCTTCACTGGATACAGACTGTAAGACAAATATGCAACATCTATTGTTTGTTTTAGATTATTAAAATATTTTTCAAATGCATCTTGTGTCAGGAGTTTGACATGCATTGAAAAGGAACATTTCAAAGTGGCTTAAATGGAGTATCTCCCTACTCAAAATGAGCCACACAATATTTCCCTTCTCAGTCACTGTGGGCTGATGATAGACATAATTCATCCTTAAATGGTCCTGAAATATATTCATTATGGAGAGATGAAAAATAAAACATTATATCTGGGAAGATAATCTAGAGATAAAACTACAAAGCAGCAAGGAAATTGATGTTTATTTCCCTTAAGCAGTCCAGAAAAAAAAAATCACATTTTCTAGAAGTTTAAAAAATTCTGATGTTATAAGGCAGGAAAGGATGCAAGACTGCAGAAAGAGTTCAGGCTTTGGGGTCAGGTGCCTCAATTCCATTTCTGGTTCTGCCACTTTCCCCGGTGACACTAGTGGTAAAGAATTCACCGGCTAATGCAGGAGACGCCAAGAGGCATGAGTTCAATCCCTGGGTCACGAAGATTCCCTGGAGAATGAAATGGAAACCCACTCCAGTATTTTCGCCTGGAGAATCCATGGGCAGAGGAGCCTGGTGGGCTACAGTCCATGGGGCTGCAAAGAGTGAGACACAACTGAGTAATTCATGTCCTGGGGCAAGACACATGACTTACCTGTGCCTTCAAGTTCCCTGTCTGTGAAAGGGGGACAGTGGTAGTACCTACCTCCTACTGTTGTTACATGGATTAAATGAAACAGTAAATGTAAAATGCTTTAAGCCCTCCCTGGCTGAGAGCACTCAACAAATGTTAATTTATTGATACTAGTCTATTCGTAGCATTCAATCACTGTAGCAAATTATCAGACAACCTCTTAAAAATTCCAGACTAGGTTGCTCACAAATCAATTATTGTTATATTCTAAAGTCCCTGAAACCCTTTTGATCAGAAAATGTTCGTTTCAAAGCAACTGATCAAAAGCATTATTATAGAACACATAAAGTTTGAGTTCTGGTTTAGTCAATGAAATCAACATGAAGAAGTGACATCAGATAAGATGTAAATAGACTGTTGTTGTCAGGAGTATCTTACAAGCTAAAGAATATTGTTGACATTCAAGAAATCTGGATGTTTTCAGTTTCTTAAATGTGATCACTGTTGTTTCCATGTTATCGTAAAATGATCCCTCCCTTTGGTCATGTGAAGCAATTTATCTATCCAAACTCCAGTGTTTTCCTTTCTTTACACTGCTTTTGGAAGAAATTAGTGAAGTTAACTCAGAAGTACCCCCCCCCCTCCACACACACACACATATCTGTTCTTTACTGTAATATGGTAAATTTCTTTGCACTGAGGATTAATTGTTAAATTCCTTTAAAATAACAAGATAGAACATAAGATATTTTATAGTCATGTTAATGACTGGAAATGCTGGAAAGAAATTCATGGTCCCTTTCTTTGACAGCCCATCAGAGCACATCATTTCTATCAGCCCTCTACTGAATGTTCCTCAGAAACAGGGATGGACAGCTGTAAATGTTAACAGGCCTAGAGAAGCCTGTAGGAGAGCATGCTCACAAGAACAGGAAGGGAGACCACCTAAGGTCATGAATTATTCCACCCATGTTCAATTCATAGGGAGAAAAAGGCCAGTTACTGTCAAGGACAGTACAAGGCTGGAGACTTTATTATTTGCAAGCTAAAAAAAAAATCAGCCTGCCCCAGTTTTTCTTGGATGCTGGCAGAAGACATTAAACTCCTGGATCAGAGATAGGGGAAAGTTCATTTCTTACAGCAATAGCTGGAGCCAGAGTATCAGCATTTTCTGTGTGTCTGTTCCCTGAGCTTCAACATACTAACAACAGGTTGTGTTGTAGAAGAGGAACCATGATCTTAGGTAGTGTGAAGCCTTTATAATGAGTGTGTCTCCTGTCCTTTGCTCTGGAGAGAGACATTATAATACTATTATACTGAGCAGTCACTGTGCTTGCCCTTTGCTCCAGAAGGAAGCATCATCACTACTGTCAAAACTGTTCACTATACAAATGTCTTTGAAAATCTAGTCTGGAAGAAAGGGCAGTCAGTGTCTTGCTCATAAGATGTGCGAAATATTATAGATGCATGGACAGTTGTCTCCTGTCGGTCATTGGTAAATTATTCTATGCTATCCCTTAGAGTGCACGGAAAGTGTTAGTTGCCCAGTTGAGTCTGACTTGAGAGCCTATGGACTGCAGCCCACCAGGCTCCTCTGTCCACTGGATTCTGCAGGTAAGAATACTGGATTGTCATTTTCTCCTCCAGGGGGTCTTCCCAACCCAGGGGTGGAAACTGGGTCTCCTGCATTGCAGGCAAATTCTTAACTATCTGAACCAACAGAGAAGGCTGTAGAAAGAACCTAAAGGCTAACACAAACATGTAAAAGCAAGGGAATATTCCTCAGCGTAAAGGAACAAGACCATAGGATTACCAGTGAGAATGGCGCTCCTTATCCTATTAAAGATGACAGGGACTCTATTATGGCTATTTGTAAGGAAAATGCGTGCAGATCGCATCTGTCAAGAGGGCTTATCTTCGTAGGCATTCATTAAATTAATAGTTAATAGGGCCTATAATTCCCTTATCTTTCCAAGGGAGGGAAATCTTATGAAGGTTCTGATGTCTTTAACTCTAGAATAACAATTCAAACATTCTATTCTGAGAGATTTTATTCTTCCTGGAATGTTGATAGATATGACGAAGGAAATCATTTCATGGTAAATGAAATTAGAGAAATGCTAAGTTAAGCAAAGTCAACAAGTATTTTTACACCAGGACTTCTCAGAGCCCTTAGCATGTTAATATTCACTGTGAATCCCCAAGAGGAATAGACTGTTTCCCCAAAGGCTCTGACCAAAGACCCCTATTTCTCAGGGTACTTAAAGGGTAATTCTACAAAATGCTACTTGGAAATGCCTCAGTACAGGAAAGGCTTTATCACACTGACAATGGGTGGTGGAAGACACAGGTGCTTTGGGAAGAAATTGCCTGACTGTTCTGCCCCACTCTAGACATATTTCCCATAGATAACAGCAAAGGATGCCTTCCTGCATCTTTGATTATATGTTGGTGACTATATCCATTACTTCCTGAAATCTAGGAAGGATAAATATTACTAGCAATAAATGTGATCACCAAAGATCTTACCACTGTTACTGAGAAGGCAAACCAGGCTTTCTTGTTTCTTTCTCCAGAGAGGTAAACAATGTGAGTAAATTTAGGAAATTAACAAATGAACTCCAAAAAGCCTCAAGAAAATGTACCTTGTGTCGGTATAAGGCAGCTTTAAGAAGACAGCATCCAGGCATGGCTGTAGCATTTTCTGAGTGAACAAAGCACTGTCCATGATACTTTTCCAAAGAGAGAGTCATGTTTATGTAACAAGAGCATCTTCAATTTCACTACCCTGATAAGATGTCTTGAGCCATGGATATTCATGCCTCAGAGAGACAGAGAAGAGCAGCATTTTAGTCAGAGGAAAGAAGCAGTTCTTCAGGCCTGAAATCAGCTGCTTTGTCAGGGCTGATGTCACTGAAATTTGAAGCAAGTTAATGTTAAAGTGTGATCTGAGATGTTCTAGGATACATTCTACATGCATAATATGATATGGTACTAAAAAAAGGTTAAAAATGTTTAGTCCTAGGAAAAAAATGAGTTAACTTCCTTAGGAAGTAAATCCTAATGTAGTTTGTTTAATAAATAAGAAAGTTCTAACCCTTTTAAAGTGTTTCATTATCTTTAGAATAACTTATTTCACGGCTAGAGCCAGTCATTTGTAGATTTAATTAATGAGTTAACATAGGTAAAGTTCTTAGATCAGTGGCTGTACGTGATTAATAAGTAGTGGCAAGCAAATATTATTTAGTAGTACAGTTATAGCAGTTATATTTGGATACAAAAAAAGTCACTCCTGAGACTATCAAACTCATTTTTACTTAAAACTTACACTACGTATCTATCATGTGAAAGCTATTTATCATTGGTCTGTATAAAAATAAAAATTCCAAGAATGAGGCTGCCTGGTATATTTCATATTGCTTAAGCTCAGAACCACAGACACTTCATGCTCTTTCATTAAGTTTGCTTTCAGTCATAAAACGCTTCTCAATTAAAGAGCAAGCTGTAAAATCATCCCAGGAAGGCACATTTAGGATATGAGTATGCTACTGGGAAAAGCACAAATTAATGCAGTTTCAAAGAGTATTGAAAAAATACATCATAAACCTTACTGAAGATACTTGATGGATTCAATTTAAAAGTACATATTCCTTTCTCATGTGATTGAATAGTGGTTAAGTCCCCAAACTCTGAAATTAGAGTCACCTGGACCCAGATCCTAACACTTCCACTCATTGGTCATGTGGCCTTTGGCTAGTTACTATGTGGCCTTTGGCTAATTACTTGATTGCAATCTGCCTCTCTATCAATAAAAGAAAATAACACTGCCTACTAGCTGGGAACAGCAACTAAATGATACAATACATATAAATATTAATATAAAGCACATTAATATAAAGCACATTAGCACATTAGCATGTATTTTGTAAATGCTTATTCACCATTATTTCCAAAGAATATCTCACAAGTTAGTGGGACCAAACACTTACATATTGTGTTTGCATGTGCACATACATGCACGTGTTTTTGAGGGAGATGTATAAATTATGATTTTAGAAGAATTTGACCCAAACTTTTCTAGAATCCTATTTTAAGTCCTCAGCAACACTACCCTTGCCTCTGGCACAATTCTACTGCCATTTTAGGATCAAGACCACATTTGACCACATTACCTCTTGGGCAACTTCCTGCTCACAGGACATTTTCTAGGGAAGGTTTCTCTTGTCTGAGCATTTTTATTGGCATGCAGTCAAGAATTTAAAAACTGTAGCTAAAGGTGGGTTTTGTCTTGCAGCTATTAACTCAGAAAGTGCTAATGGTTGCAACAATGTTAACAGCTGAAACTTAAAAACAACCAAGTTTCCTGTTAGTTCAGGATCCTTCCCACAAAGCTCAGAAGAGGT